TTTTTCTCTAAATAGGTGGGGGCAATTTTCTTTATTTGTTTTTCTATTATCACAGTGTCAAAATCATAAAGTTATTAATTCCTACTTGATTACGAATATTAAAGAGTCTAGATAACCAGAAACGGTATCAACAATTTCACATTCTTCTATAGAACCAACATGTTTCTGTTGACAATACTATACATTTTACTTTCATGCTTTTGTAAAATTTGTATCAAAGGAAATCATTAACCAAATTAAATTAAGTTGTATCTGAAAAACAATAAAATAAATTTACTAACAACATAATGTTTGGTCTTGGCAAAGAATTTCCTTCTTGTTTTTATTTTTTTTATAGTTCATTTTTTTATGATTACATGTGCAGAAATAATATGCCAAAATATCCAAAAAAATATTCATAAGGGTGATGAATTCAAGTAAGAAAAGAATTAAGGGATTTTTAGAAAAATGCCCCTGGGCTGAAATAAATAAGAGGAAATTGGCCCTACCTCTTTCAGTTTATAATATTATTTTTTTTTGTTAAGAAAGCGGGAGGTCATCTAGCTCAAGTCTTAAACGGACGATCATACCTCATGTCATGCAGGTTGCATAATTGCAATGAAACTAATCAAAATCGACCACTTTCTTCTAATCACAGTGAAAAAGCGGCAATCATCATACAAATATAATTTTGAAACAAGACACCCTTTTGGTGATTTAGACTCGCCTTTTTTTAAAATATTTATTTTACATCTCTGGTTTTACATGTTTAAGTGCGGATCTACACTAATTTTCGATGATAACTGGAGATTAATCAGAAGCATTCAAATCTAAAAACCTTAAAGGATGGTTGTTTTCAATACTTTTAAAAAAGATGGATGAACTAGAATAACTAAGTAGTAGTAATAACTCGAACTCGCACTTTGGTCCGTATGAGAAAAAAAAAACGGAATTTATTGTGAAAATAGCAATACAGTGTTAACAACTGTATAGAATATGAAAACAACACGTTGTTAATTTCATGCGTCCGAAGCGATTTTCTGAATTATTCAAGACTTTCTGAATTTAAATTGAAGTTACCAAGAAAATCTCTGCCAGCTGTAATGCGTTATATCGAAAAAGTAGACTTTTCCCACGTTCACTTCATCGACTCTACTACAAAAGGACGCCAAAAATGTTTGTCCTAAGTCTAACTAAATACTGAAAATTGAAATTTGAATTTTCTTTATCATTAATTTCATGCGACAAATTTTGCAAATGTTCCCATGGATTCAATAGACTAACACTGCAGCGGATAACATCTGTTGGTATTGATTTTTTCGTGTGACTTTTCGTTGGTTTACCTTAAAAAGAAATAACTATAATATCAGTTAATAGATGGCTGTCAAGTTATTTTACCTTTGGCAGTATTCATTGTTGACTTTTTCCATTCAATTAGTTCACGAGACAGGTGCCTAACCGAGGAGAAGGTCGGAAAGAGTGGCGTGGGAATGGAACGTGGCAGAACTTTGGGCGAATGGTTAAGGAAGCACGCGTGCACCTGCTTCTCTCAGCAGACGATTAATAAGAAAAATGATTTTGATTTGATAGAGTGAGCATGGACGAGGGTACATGCTTAACTTTGTAACCTAGGTAATTAGTAAATCTTGAGTTAAAAGTAGTATTTACATTTTCCCACGGTTTTAGTGACATGCGACTGTGGTGAGTTATCTGACCGTGCACTTTTTAAATATAAACTAAGAACAGGACTTTCACCCTTTAAACCGATGCCTGAGGGAATTGAATCACAAGTAATGAAATAACATTTGAAGAAAAATAAATTATAAATTGTAGGTTGATGACCTGTTTGTCCGTTTTATACCGCCAAGATTATTAAAAAGTGCTGAATATTACTCCACGTGTCAAGCGGATAACTAAGTCGTGCATAAAATATAATGAAATACTTAAAAATCATAAGATTTAAAACGTATTCTCAAACATAGTTACAGTATAGGTCTATCCTTATAATTACTTTAAAAGGTTGCCATAAGTAACAAGTATATCAAATTATGATCTTTATACTTAAACTTTATGAATTAAGCAACAAGGTTATAACATATCAAATATTGTTTCCGTCACCGGCAATTTTGATGGCGAGATGTTTAATTCATGAAAAATAGTAAAGAAAAACAAATTTACAAAACAGTACATAGAAAGCTAGACACTGAGCAACACGAACCCCACAAAAAAACGCAGAGTAATCTCATGTGCTCTGGAAGAGTAAAGCAATTTCTGCTCAACTACTGAAACCCGTCGAATGCAACTTACTCATGGTATGAAGTAGTCTCTTTCGGTGATACCAAAGTCATTGTGGTTAGTTAAACAATCACAACATACCTGTAGTATTCTGTGTGTCTACTCATTCAGGACTAGCTATAGACAACATATAGTAATCTTTGTGTGTCAACTCGACATGGACAAGTCAGAGTATTATATGTGTGTCAACCATATCTTGAACCAGACAACAAATAAAATTCCCTTTGTCTACTGTATTTAGGACTAGCTATATACATCAGACAGTATTCTCTGTGTGTCAATTCTATCTTGAACAAAACAACAGATATATACTAAATTTCAACTCAATCTTTAATACTGGGAATAACTATAGACGACAGATAACATTCTCCTGTGTGTCAACTTCTATCTTGATCTAGCAAACAGAAACATACTGTGTTTCAACTTTAGCTTGGACTAGAAAAACATAGTATTTTCTATGTGTCAACTCTATCCTCGACTAGAAAACTGATAGTATTCTTTGTGTCAACTCTATCTTAGACTACAAAACAGATGGTATTCTCGATGTTTCAACTCTATCTTGGACTGGAAAACGGATGGTATTCTCCGTGTCAAATCTATACAACAGGTGTGTCAACTCTTAAGATTAGCTATAGACAACAGATAGTATTCTTTAGGTGTCAATTCTATCTTGAACAAAACAACAGATATATACTATATTTCAACTCAATCTTTAATACTGGGACTAACTATAGACAACAGATAACATTCCCCTGTGTGTCAACTTCTATCTTGGACTAGCAAACAGAAACATACTGTGTTTCAACTTTAGCTTGGACTAGAAAAACATAGTATTTTCTATGTGTCAACTCTATCCTCGACTAGAAAACTGATAGTATTCTTTATGTGTCAACTCTATCTTGGACTACAAAACAGATGGTATTCTCGATGTTTCAACTCTATCTTAGACTGGAAAACGGATGGTATTCTCCATGTTTCAACTCTATCTTGGACTGGAAAACGGATGGTATTCTCCGTGTCAAATCCATATTGGACTAAACAACAGGTGTGTCAACTCTAAGATTAGCTATAGACAACAGATAGTATTCGTTAGGTGTCAATTCTATCTTGAACAAAACAACAGATATATACTATATTTCAACTCAATCTTTAATACTGGGACTAACTGTAGACAACAGATAACATTCCCGTGTGTCAACTTCTGTCTTGGACTAGCAAACAGAAACATACTGTGTTTCAACTTTAGCTTGGACTAGAAAAACATAGTATTCTCTATGTGTCAACTCTATCCTCGACTAGAAAACTGATAGTATTCTTTATGTGTCAGCTCTATCTTGGACTGGAAAATGGATGATGGTATTCTCGATGTTTGAACTCGATCTTGGGACTGGAAAACGGATGGTATTCTCTGTGTCAAATCTATATTGGACTATACAACAGGTGTGTCAACTCTAAGATTAGCTATAGACAACAGATAGTATTCTTTAGGTGTCAATTCTATCTTTGACTACAAAACAGATTGTATTCTCTGTTTCAACTCTATCTTTGACTAGAAAACAGATAGTATTTTCTATGTGTCAACTCTATATTGGACTATACAACAGATGTGTCAACTCTAAGATTAGCTATAGACAACAGATAGTATTCGTTAGGTGTCAATTCTATCTTTGACTACAAAACAGATTGTATTCTCTGTTTCAACTCTATCTTTGACTAGAAAACAGATAGTATTTTCTACGTGTCAACTCTATATTGGACTATACAACAGATGTGTCAACTCTAAGATTAGCTATAGACAACAGATAGTATTCGTTAGGTGTCAATTCTATCTTTGACTACAAAACAGATTGTATTCTCTGTTTCAACTCTATCTTTGACTAGAAAACACAGTATTTTCTATGTGTCAACTCTATATTGGACTATACAACAGATGTGTCAACTCTAAGATTAGCTATATATACAACAGATAGTATTCTCTATGTTTCAACTCTATCTTGGACTAGAAAACAGATGGTATTCTCATGTCAACTCTATCTTTGTCTAGAAAACAGATAGTATGTTCTATGTGTCAACTCTATATTGGACTATACAACAGATGTGTCAACTCTAAGATTAGCTATATATTAGCTATATATACAACAGATAGTATTCTCTATGTTTCAACTCTATCTTGGACTAGAAAACAGTATTATCTATGTGTCATTTTTATCTTGGAATAGAAAACAGATAGTATTCTCTATGTGTCAAATCTATCTTAAACTAAACAACAGAAACATACTGTTTCAACTCTATCTTGGACAAGAAAACAGATAATATTATCTTTGTGTCAACTCTATATTGGACTACACAACATATATTATTCTCTGAGTGTCAACTCTAAGATTAGCTATGGACAACAGATGGTAACTATTCTTTTCCATGAATGAACTCTATCTTGGACTACAAAACAGACAGTATTCTTTATGTGTCAACTGTATCTAGGACAACAAAACAGATAGTATTCTCTGTGTGTCAACAATATCTTGCACTACAAAACAGATGGCATTCTCTGTGTGTCAATTCTATCTTGGACTACAAAACAGAGAGTAGAATATGTTTGTCAACTCTATCTTGAACTAGACAACAGATAAATACTATATTTCAACTGTGTCCTGGTCTCTTAAACTGATAGAATTCTCTATATTTCAACTCTACCCTTAATAGGACACAATAATAACAAGAACAGCTTTCAACAAAATAAATTTATTCATATATTTTTAATGTCATTGACATAAGGAGTAGCACTTATAATTTTAATAACACTGATTTTTCACTATCAGAATGTATACATGCAATTTCAGGATGATTAACAAAAACAGACCCATGTGTATATTTAAATCTATTCCAGACACCAAGAAAATAAGGTTTCGTGTGTTAATATTGTCAGGTAACAAAATACAGGACTTTATGTATGATCATTTGAACTTTTACGAACCAGTATGATTTTACACGTTTATTCAAAATGCATTTTATGCATTTATGTTCCACTCAAGTAAGTAAATGTACACAAATTACCAAAAAAAAAAAAAAAAAAATTGTATGACACCTTTTTAGAAATAACTTGTAACACTTCTTGAACTTTATTTTCTCATTTTAATGAGGATAATTATTAAAAAAAAATAAATAAAAAGTGAAGAATAAATTCAGCTTATCTTTTTCCCTGTAGCTGTGACACTCATAAATAATGTGTTTTCAGGCCCTAAAAATGTATATATAGTTATAAGAAATCAAATACATCACTTAAGATGTACCACTTAGGCCCACTTCCAAATGATGGGCTATTAACTTGGGATAAGCTAATGGCTGGCACTGTTTAACACTGAAGGTTCAATTCTTCATGCAAGTATAAGAAAAAATATCTTCGTCAAGAAGCAACCAATGTTAGATGTGGGACAAAAATCAACAATCATTAAATAATTAATTTTGAAATGGGTGTGGTGGTTGTATAGTTAACCACACACTGACTTAATTTCACATATGCTGTGTGTCCTATTTACCTAAACACTAATTCCGTTTATAAAAAATAATTCATTTTGGCAGCAGAAAATGATTGGGATAGTTTTATGTCGTCAGAGCAGATAAAAATTAATCATGACCAAAATCAAAGCTACAGTACAATTTTGAACTCATGTTTGTTTTTTTTGTAAGAATTTTCACAAAAGTTGACATTCAAGATATACATATATTGTGACACTAAGTACAATGATTACCAGTATGATTTCTTTCAGTCCTAAACACAAAGACTGTCACTCATGAAACAAACTGACAAAAACCATCTTTAAAACAAACGGAAACTTGTAAAATTTACATTTGGTTACTAAACAAATAAGGACATTTCGCCAATACCACAAAAAAAGTATTTGTGTTGTGTGAAATTTAAGTATAATCTACAGTCAAATCCAATTGTCAATTTTTTAGTGAAAAGAGCTCAAATCTTATTGATAGTGAGCAAGACTACAGAACATGAACCAGCTAGATATATCGACTCTGAAAAAATGTAATATTATATATTTTGAGGCTTACAAGGCTAAATGCAAGATTAGTAGTAAAAAGTTCAACAAATATTAACTTTCCATGATTATGATGAAAAGAGCTGTATTTGACAACATTTTGACAAAAAAAAAAATATGAAAAATGTATCTCTAAATCCATTTCCGGCTCATGATCTGATATACTCTGTTTTTGAAAAAGCTTATAAATTAACACAAAACACACTCATTAAAATTAGTACTGCAGGCCAACAACCCACAGAGTTCAGCTCAGTTCTTAACTGTCGATCTTTAAGTCAAATATAGCAAATATTCAATATTTTAATATTCATTATGTAAACCCAAGGGAAAATTAGACGTCATAACACTGGGTGTGGGAGGAACAAAAATTGTCTACATAATAACGACAAGTTGTATAATAATTCATTTCTGAAAAGTCTGATGTTAAAATAAATAGTATGTTAAAGATTAGTAAATGCCCCAGTTGATTCATGTGTTAGTCTATTTTTTTCTTTTGTCACTTTGATAAAAGATTTCAGAAAAATTGTGATGCGTTTGAAGAACTGTCTGATCTTATATAATAAATAATACACTGATAATAATTACAGGGTGGTAGCCAGGAATCATGAATGGAGGTGCAATATTATTTGTAAGGGTCTATTGGGGCCTGGAGAGGGGGGAAGCATTTAGAAGACACAAAACCATTTGCTAAGCAAATGAGTCATTTGAATGAGGAGACTACACCATCAACAATTTAAAAAAAAAGTCCTGTGTGTGCTCACAATCCCTGGCTACAGTCTTCTATTGACATTATCAATCAATATGTTAGACCAACATTTCATTTCAAAGCAAAATCAAATGACCCGACAGAACAAAAAAGGAAGGGGACTTTATACAGTGACACTTTTATCATTACAAATTAATTTTACTGCTTGAAGATTAATTTTGATGCTTGAACAGGGAAAAAAAACTTGAACATTTTCCATCCAGCAGTCCAAATTGCGAGAATATGAAAGATTCACATAAGCACTTTGGACATGATATTCAACTAAACTTCAGGGCCCCAGCCTAATAATTAGTAGCCTTAGCTACTGGGCCCCTGCAATTCTTTTTCCCGTCGAATCTGAAATCCTAGTTTTGAATATCTGTAGAAATTCATTAAAAACAGATGCAAGATCACATGTTTTTACAGATTTGATGTTATGTCTATTAATCACAAAATTTGAAAGAGTTTCTTCAGTTCAACAATTAATTGCCAGTCGCTCTTCTGCATTTCTTCTCTGAAATAGTCCTTAACAGCATCAATGGAGGCTCTTGATATCTGAAAAAGACAAATACAAATTAATGTGGATTTATTACTATTCGTGGGATACCATTTTTCCTGGATTTTGTAGGTACAGGTGAACCATGAATTTAGATGTTCAACAAATAACAAATTTTCTATAAGCTTGTATGCAGACCTTGGCATAATCAAGAAATTATAAATCTACGAAAATACAAGTTTTCCTCAATCCACGAAAATTGGTACCCACCAAAATAAATGCATCAACAGTATTGTGATTTTTGGAAACGCAGTATACAAATAATGCTCTAAAAATTTTAAATGTGAGTCTTTATTTTTGCAACACCAATCTGGTAATGAATTTTGCACTTATTAAAACATCACAAATTTTTTAGAATTTACAGTCTGCACTAAATTGCTTCAATATGAGCATACAGTGATATACAGGTCACATAAATAACAAACTATTCTTAAATCAAAATAAAAGTCCCTATATTTAGATAGGTAAAGCAGCGGGGGTTGTAAACATTAAAATGACATTAATCCTAAATGTGTAAATATTGATCTGTGTCAATATCATCGATGAATAGTAAAATCTCTTAAGTTTATTTAAACACCCGGACTCGTACATTCAAGCTAAAAGGCTACATTGACTTAATCGGACTTTAATTCTCTAACAAACATGTTTTGAATACACAAAACTGAATGTGATGTCCCCCTGCAAGCTAACCAAAAAGCCTAAAGACAAAATGATGGTTTGTGGTTTGATATTGTTATGTTTATCAAGGACAATATCTCCAAACAGTGCATTTAGGCCATTGGTGAGATCATATCTTTGAACTTGAAAACATATACAAGTTTAACCATGATCATTAAAAAACCACAAGTGATTCAGATATTACCAAATACTTAGTGACTTAGTTTTAAGGCATAATGCAGGCATTTTGTATCTACTAATCACACTATTTCATCACTGAGGAACTCATTTAATATCAATTCAATCTGTAAAATAAATTTTATGCAAAAGATTTTTGAATATAGCTACAAAATGTCCTTTTTGACAGCCCTTCATTTACTTTTAAGGATCCAGCTATATAGGGTTATACTAAACTAACCATTGATCAAAATCTAACCCTAACCCACAATTATTCCTAACGATAGACTTAGTCCTAAATCATAACCCTAACCTAACATTTATCCTAAATGGAACCCTCATGGTCCTTTGATGGCCATCTTGGTATTTAGATAAGAATATGAAACACACATGACCTAACATTGTAAAACCTGATAAAAAAAATTTCACTTGACATTCATTAACTTTTGATTTTTGACTCTGTGATTGGAGAAAAAAAGTAAAGAAAAATTCCCCACACCCCTTTACTTTCATAATTTACCGGTATGAACATTAACAATTTTGGGCTGTACCCCTTCAAAGGATCAAACCAATTGGTGAAACAGTTCTCAAGATAAAAGAAAAATCTATCATTTGCATTTTTTGGGGTTCAAAAAATGGACTGTATTAAAATATTACATGTACTTCAAGTACAGTGGATTAGATGAGAATGGACGGTGATGCCATGAAATAACAGCAAAAATAGAGTAAACCGTTCCGGTACTTTACATGAATTCAGCTTGACCATTCAGTACAGTGATTTATACTGGAATTGATTGGACAATGGTGGATAGTTGTCTCCATGGCAATCAAACCAAATGTCAATATTTTTATATGGGATACAGAAAGTTGGAGTCTCTGAATTTGAGATAAAATTTTCAATGCTAGATCCTATTCATGCTTTGTATTACAGAACTCTTAAATATTACATTCGAAAACCACAAGGTAATATTATAGTGAAAGGTTATCACAAGGATTTTTTTGGCTAAACATTACATAATCATATCTTCAATAGTACTTTTCAATATGAAATTACTCAAGCTGAACAGCTTCAGAATATAAACACTCAAGACCACAGGTGCAGAAAAAGGACCCATCAAATACACCCCAGATATCATCACCAGTGTCACATCTATTCTTCTTAGAACACAAATTTCTTAAGTGGACTAAATCCTGGACAAGAAGTACTCTAATGACATCATTACTTGTGGGTTGAAGAAAACCACAAAGTTCCTATAAACCCTAATCCTGTTTGAATAATTTCCACAGCGAACTTTTATTTTCCTAAACAGATTGTATAGTAATGTGTTATTATCCAACAGATCATGAAATCTTAAATAAAATCTAATAACGTTGCTAAAAGTACCAAAGAACCCTTTAAGACTGTGTTATTTTTCAGGTAGTTTGAATTGAGGGAAATGCCCTTCATAAATTGTATGTAACACATCACATACACAGCAGATTGAATTTATGTATAAATTCCATAACTGTGTTAAAATGAAGCATATGGAAGATAAAAAGTGGAATTATTTACTACATTAGTACGACATATTTACTGTACATTTTATCAAGTATTAAATTGGCTCCCACTCCTTGCCTAAGAAGATCATTGTTAGTGCGTCACTTGTTCATATATTATTAATGGGACAATTAATGCAGCTCAATCCCCTTTCCTTCTATCTATATGTATCACTCAGTTTTATAGACATAAATCAAGAATTTTCATGCTTATGGATATATATCTATAAGGGAAGAAAACTGCACAATTTTGCAAGTCACTCTCAGGAGGGCCCTACCTTGTACTATGATCAAATTATTTAATATGAAGGAATATTTATTTATCAAATACTAGTCTACTCATATTTATTTTTTAGAATTTTTCTTTTAATTTGCTAATGCCCAATAACATCTATAGATTATGAAAATCAATTAGTACCATTCCTTTACTTTACCTTTAACCATATCAAATAAGAGCAACAATCAATTTTTCATATTTACTAATCAACAGATTTTTACACACCCACTCACTCCCTTCAAAGTTCTTAGTACTTAATGCTACCATGTGATATTGCAAAATTTATACAAATGTCTCTAAATTATATCAGAAATTATTCAATTTTAAATATTTGATAACAAACTTAGACTAGATAATTGTCTGTTTTGCTCAATGAAGAATGACATGTGAATAAGATTACAACAAAATTACAAGCAGTGCAGGTAGCCTTTAGTTAATATAGGATAAAGGTTACAAAGTGCTTGGGACTAAGGTGGAGGAAGATATAATTTATGCTTGTGCACCAATATTTAAGTTATAGTTTATTTACACCATAGGTACACTATAGGAGGGCAATAAGGGCGGATCATTATTAATGTTTCCTTAATGTAAAGAAAGAGATGAGTGAGTTCTCACAGCAAGGACCAGGATAGTTTGATTCACAAAATATCATTTGAATGTTGTGAACAATAAATGGGAAAAACTCAACTCACAATTTTTGTAGACTTTCAACAGACACACACACAGGCACTTGTCTCTGAGAAAAAATTACCTATATACCTTAATACCTTAATATATTCATGTATACAGGTAACTTTGTGGACAGGAACTAAAAATAATGGCAGATAATGCCAAAGCAGTCTCTGGTAAGGATGTGAAAAGGAGGATTGTTCTATAATTTAGCAGCGAAAATCATTACTCATTTTCTAATTAAACATGGTTTAATGCCCATTAATGGAGAAAACACTCTGCTTACTCTTGACATTTCTGTCCCTATTTTGGACTTTTTAGCTTCTACAAATTTCCTTTCAGAGGCAGATCCAGGTTTTTGAAAGGAGGGCATAAATGTAGAAAACTGTATATTTAACTAAAAATTTTGATGAACAATTTTATGCTTAAAATTATATATTTTCCAGTCAAAGGTGGGCCTACATCCTCTATGCCCCTCCCTGAATCTGCCACTACTAATTATATTTAGTAACACATCCCAAGTGTACATATATATCTTTAGATTTGTATACGCTAGTAAACATCCTAATTTAACTTAGTTGATAAATGACATATTCCTGATGTGTCTTTTATCATTCTGCACCCAATAGTTCGATAAGTACCTGTACATGTACTAATATATAGTTGTTTGACATTTTGAAGCAATTTACTACTCAGCACACATGGCTCATATCAGTGGCAAATCATAGTTCAGTACTATTATTATTATAATCAACATAATATCTCACTTCCTATTGCTATTTCTGTGCAAAAGGCAAACAGGGACAAAATATTTTCTAGCTATAACTATAGATCATATACCCTTGAGACTATCATCTGATGAAATTATCTGGAATCTCCAGCAATATTCTGATTAACTGTAAAGTGGAATTGGTACCATAAATTAAACCACATCTTAACAAGTTATTGTGAAGTTTTGCTTGAGCAAATGCAGAGCTGATCAGCTTAATTGTTATGTACCAGGATGATCAAGTCAAGTATAAATGTTTGCTTTTTTTATTTGATATAATTTTATAGTGACAACACATATCCATCACTCATCTGCATACATATCTAGAGATCATATTTAGAAGAAATAAAATTAAGTCAAACATGCCAATTTAAAGAACCTTTCACGAGAAAGCTCACATATCGAGATCATATTAAGAAGAAATAAAATTAAGTCAAACATGCCAATTTAAAGAACCTTTCATGAGAAAGCTCACATATCGAGATCATATTAAGAAGAAATAAAATTAAGTCAAACATGCCAATTTAAAGAACCTTTCATGAGAAAGCTCACATATCCTCCCCCCCCCCCCCTATGAAAGGGGAGAGCTTATTGTGACCTGCTAGCATAGTCTTTTCTGTTATGATTTATGACATAACCATGTCTAAAAACAGATAAAATTCTTATCCTAGTGACAAGATTTAAAATTATACTCAATTTGTGGTCACTGTGACCTTGACCTCAGATGTTTAGACTTATACGTTAATAGGAATCTGCCTCCCCATATATTTTAACAAATATATTCAAGTTTGGTACCAATTCAATGCACGGTACTCCAGGAGTTATAGGAGAAACCCCTTTTCTGCACAAATTTCAGTCTATTTTTAAGGCAGTAACTATGACCTTCACCTCAGATGTAGTGACCTAAAAATCAATTCATTATATATGATCATATATCAAAAATACTTGATTTAGCATCCAGAAAGAAACAGTACATCAGAGACATGAAAATGCATTTCACAGAGAACACTCTATATGACACCAAAGTATGACAAAGACTAAGACAAAGTCATGAAAGAACATTTCACAGAGAAAACTCTATATGACACCAAAGTATGAAGAAGACATGAAAGAACATTTCACAGAGAAAACTCTATATGACACTAAAGTATGACGAAGACATGAAAGAACATTTCACACAGAACACTCTATATGACACCAAAGTATGACAAAGACATGAAAAAACATTTCAAAGAGAACACTCAATATGACACCAAAGTATGACAAAGACATGAAAGAACATTTGACAGAGAACACTCTATATGACACCAAAGAGTGACAAAGACATGAAAGAGCATTTCACTGAGAACACTCTATATGACACCAAAGTATGACAAAGACATGAAAGAACATTTCACACAGAACACTCTATATGACACCAAAGTATGAAGAAGACATGAAAAAACATTTCACAGAGAACACTCAATATGACACCAAAGTATGACAAAGACATGAAAGAACATTTCACAGAGAACACTCTATATGACACCAAAGTATGACAAAGACTAAGACAAAGATATGAAAGAACATTTCACAGAGAAAACTCTATATGACACCAAAGTATGAAGAAGACATGAAAGAACATTTCACAGAGAAAACTCTATATGACACTAAAGTATGACGAAGACATGAAAGAACATTTCACACAGAACACTCTATATGACACCAAAGTATGACAAAGACTATAACAAAGACATGAAAGAACATTTCACACAGAACACTCTATATGACACCAAAGTATGACAAAGACTATGACAAAGACATGAAAGAACATTTCACACAGAACACTCTTTATGACACCAAAGTATGACAGACATGAAAAAACATTTCACAGAGAACACTCAATATGACACCAAAGTATGACAAAGACATGAAAGAACATTTCACAGAGAACACTCTATATGACACCAAAGTATGACAAAGACATGAAAGAGCATTTCACTGAGAACACTCTATATGACACCAAAGTATGACAAAGACTATGACAAAGACATGAAAGAACATTTCACACAGAACACTCTATATGACACCAAAGTATGACGAAGACACGAAAGAACATTTCACAGAGAACACTCAATATGACACCAAAGTATGACAAAGACATGAAAGAACATTTCACAGAGAACACTCTATATGACACCAAAGTATGACAAAGATTATAACGAAGACATGAAAGAACATTTCACACAGAACACTCTATATGACACCAAAGTATGACAAAGACATGAAATAACAACACCATTGTCATAGTACAAAGACATCAAGATGACTGATGGACGGACTGAGGAGTCTATGTTTAGAAACTATGACATTGACCTTAGAAGTTGTCACTTCAAACCAGTAGGGACCTTCCTCTCAAGTTAGGTTACAATTAGATTAAAAAAAAAATTTAAATTAGCTTCCAAAAACCCTTTTATTTCAGTCAATTTTTAGTTACTATGACCTTGACCTTATACAAAGTGACCTCAAAATCAATAGGGACCTTCCTCTAATTAAATGTGGCCCTATAATATATCCAAGTAAGATTACCAACCGATATGTAGCATTTGATTTAGCATCAAGAAACAGAGATGAATGATGGACAGACAGGTTAAAGAACTATATACCCCCGCTTCTTTGATGAAAAGACTATAATAAGAATTTAAAATAGTCCTTTCATCAAGTTCAATAAGCTATAAATATATACATGTGACTGAGCCTTTGGCCCTTGATAATCTTTTTGGTATTTTAAAGTGTTTGAACTCGGTCTTCATTGGCAGATCCAAAAGATCCCTAAATTAGGGGCATTGCAGTTTCAAAATAAAATATTTTGCACATTGTAATTCTAGCTTTGCATGCACCAAAGAAGCCTGCTCATATCCTGACTATTGAGATGTAAAATAAAAAAAATAAAATATTCAATGAAATATATTTTCTTCACAAATCATCTTAATATGACACTGCAAAACCTTTGACAACAAGTGTGGTATTCTTCAGACTTCCGCACCGAACCCCAAAAAAAATCTAATCAGGTATATAAATAGTTCTTTATTGGCGTTTTTGTGTTTAATTTCCACATAATTAAATTCGACAGGAGCGTTCATGTGTCGAACATGTAGTAAAGACGACTCCATTATCCTACTATATGGTGACAGTTTTTCTGTCATTTCCTCCTATTTTACCTGTACACACAGTAAATTGCCTGGCATGCCGTGTCATCAAATTTTCGTTAACAATTAATTAACCACTTGTTTGATTAAGTCTCATTCAAAACTGTCATTCTTAAAGATAGATCCTGCCTTTAAGAAACCATGTGTAATTTTGAAACCTTCAATCACCTGTCAATCTTAGCCTTACATAATTTGTAGAAACCACATGATTTTATTAATTTTCTGATTTATGCTAATCTAGACAATATGATTTGACAAAAGTTTGGATGAGTTTCATTAGTCATAATTTTATTCAATAGAAATTATTAACAATATCTGTATTTACTTCCACATTTAAGACCATTCACTAATTCACCTTTATTGCTCTCATAACATGTTTTCTTCGTTCAGCAGGAAATCTTCCATGGCCATCAAAGTTTTTACTTTCAAAGTTTTATAAAATTGAAAGAAAGAGAATTAGATCAATACTTAAAATACTAATTCATATGAAATGGTGATGGGTTTGAAGCCTGGGTGGGTGAAAAACAAAGTCTTTAAAATTGGTATTTGTTGCTTTTTTGCTAAGCCTGCAGCATTTAGGAGTAAGAGTAAAGACTGGCTCAGCTTCGAGTAGAAGAATTATGTATCCAGATAGGAACACTATATGAAACACAGTACATCAGAGACACAAAGGAATATTTCACAGAGAAAACTCTATACAACACCAATGTCACAGAACAGGAGAAAAATGTGATTAGGTATTGCAAATGGATCCCTGTGATACAATTCTGTTATTAGGAATAAAACATTGGATAACAGTTAACAGCAGTATCCAGTTGTAAGGGAATACATGGAATGAAACTGATATTATCAAGATCAGCTAACAAAAATCTATCAAAATTTATTCCAGAGTAAATTTATTTTTCTTTATCAATATTTAATGATTGGTCAGTTTTTGAAAGAATATTTTTTGTAAGGAAGTCCAAATTTATAATCAAATATCTAACACATTTAGAAACGGTGTCAATTTTGTAAATTAGTGTGTAAATTATCCTGTCAATCCCTTTCACTAACTAGAACATTACTAACAAGGTCTAGTTAAATTCTTTTGTACTGTTTCTCAATGTTTTACAATTACAAACATGCAATAAGAATGTAGTCTACATTGATAAAAAATTCTTATACATCAGGTTCTTACACATTCATTTTGATGAAATGCATTTTTTTTAATTTTGTTAAAATAGTCTGATATAAAATTAAGAAGATGTGCTACGATTGTCAATGAGACAATTTTACAACAGAGACCAGAGGAAGCGGATGTAAACAACTATAGGTTACTGAAGGTCTTCAATAATGAGCAAAACCTATACCATATAGTAAGAAAAAGTAAACCCTAACATGACAAAATAGTCCATTTTATGAGAATTTTGAAGTTAATGCCAGTGTGTTTTACCTGAGAACAAACAAATTATGAGTGAAACAAAAGTTTTGCAATATATATATATTCTATGTGCCAGTTGAACTAATGTAACATTTAAATTTCGAAATTTCTACAAGAAAATCATTAACTATTGTTATTTTCCAAGTTGCTAAGGGATTGAACAAATTAATCAAAAGAGTCACTAAGATTATACACTCTGGTAGATTAAAATATCTTACCTTGCAGCAGATTTATAGTCAAAATGCCACTTATCATAATAGGCAAGTTAGCATATACTTTTACCAGTTTACCTACCTTACTATACAACAGATCTGTGTGGTCAAAATGTCGCCCAAACATTTTAGGTGAGTCCCCAGATACAGCTTCTATCTTTATACACACTTCCATCCCCTTTCTGGCAATATCCACAGGTTTGTTGTTATTTTCTATACTGGATACGTGGCCAATATCAAGAAACTGAAAAAAAAAAGATTAAAAATTTTTAGTCACAACAAATCCATCCCTTGATAACTTATTATGGTCATTTGATTAAATAACACAACAATCTCAGCATCCTTCTAGTTAAATGATATTCACATAATACAACACCATTTCTTAACTACAGTGTATATCAAAATATGGAGATATGGTATGATTGCCAATGAGACAACAATCCACCAGAATTCAAATGACATGGAAGTAAGCAACTATAGGTCACTGTACAGCCTTCAACAAGAGGCAAAACTAATACCATACAGTAAGCTATAAATGGTCCAGACATGACAAAATGTGAAACAATTCAAATGAGAAAGCCTTATGACAAAACAATAAATGTAAAACAAATAGGACGGATGACAACCATTGACAACCACTGAATTACTGGCTCCTGACTTGGAACAGGCACAAAAAGATTGATGCCTTGGTCCATTCTTTAAGAGAGTCTGACAAATATCTTGCAGTATTTCTGGTTTCAATTGACCATGCAAGTTATGATGACTGTCTTATTCTACAATACAAATAGTCTTAAAGAAAAAATATATTAGTTCACTCTTTTAATCCCCTTCCAAATCCAACCTTTTCATTAACACTGCAAGTAGACGTCTAAAAATGTTTGTGGTTCGGAGATTAAGAAACAAGGTTCAGAGATTATAACACCTTGAATAAGTTTAATATCTACAGACAAATCCATGATAATTTCCATTCAAACTGTACTCAAATGACCACCAACTCAGAATAGCAACATCATCATCATCATCACATCATAAAAACAGTGAGATTGTATGATCTATGGATTATGTCTTAGACTAAGTACAATCAAAGTAATGATGTCATTTCAGTAATTAGTCAAGGGCAATTAGTACAGAAGATTTCATGCATTGGTATACCACAGCTATGTCTTTCTCAGTAAAACTTTGGCCGCAGGAATGGAAGATTTGATGGTAAATCTATCAAGACAAGTTCAAATAATAAATAAAGGTTTGTTATACACTGACAAATGATGCTGAACATGTCCCAAACATAGTGTATTCCCAGATCACCATTGTTTACAATAGACTGACACTCCTGTTTTGACTTCCCAGACAAAATAGGTTACTGTGAATTCAGAAATTATTGCGAGGTTTTATTAAGGCGAATAATGCAACTGGGTGAGTATCGTAATAATAAGAACTCACATTCCGATAACTGAAAGATAGATCTGAATGCAGATTTTTTTCGAAATTGGAATAATTAAACTCGCATTTTTTTCCATTCTTAAAAAATCATAATGATAAATGCACCGAATAATTTCTGAATTTACAGTAATGTGACACAATGAATTTTCAACCTATTCACGTTAGTGTTCAGCTAGTTTTCATCAACAGAACTTTTTAAAATTTTACTTACTTTATACTTAACCTACCATCTCATGATCCTATATACTAGGACTTCACATTATGACATTTACTGATCCATTCATTAGAAAACACTGGCATTGAAGGAGTAATGTCAAATTTCTCAAAACATTTCAAGGTAGATATATTTCGATTACATACCTTGTGAAACCTCATGGCTGGTCAAAGTTGTAACACATCCCTTTAGACCTACTGATCATTTTTACTCTTGTCAAGTTTTGATTTAACTGCTTTAGTTTTTGAGATATATAAAGCCAAAAACTGCAGTTCCCCCCTATGTTCCTCGTTTTACCTGCAGCAGCCATTTTTTCATCAGATATCAACAAAATGAGGATCATTTGTGGAGAACATGCCATACCTAATTACTGACAAATTTAAAATTGTTGGGTACAGAGGGGAGGATTTACAAAAAGTTGATGGTGGACGTCATATGATCACAAAAGCTCACCCGGCCCATAAGGGCAAGGTGAGCTAAAAATGCAACCACAACAACAAGAGACAAGAAACTTGACTTTGTGCATGTACTTAAATTTCGGTCAGGGTACTCAACCCTTCTTCCATTATCTAGATCAGTTGAAGGAACTTGAAAGTACAAATAGCTGATCATGACAAACTTTCTCTGATTGTGAAAGGAATCAAACACACCCTATCCTTCACTATACATATAGAAAATGTACCATGACACTAACTGAATACAACTCCTTTTAACTTGGAAAATCAAAAGACATGCCTCACTTATTACTTAAATAACTTGCATATTGTTGTGACAAAAATGTAACGGCTACACACAGTGTGTCTGCCATATTTACCATGGGAGCAGTCTTTATTATTCAAAATAGTAATACTAGGTTAATTTTCTATAATGGAATGTGATCTTACACAATGAGGACACTGACTTCCTCAAAAGTACTTTTATTCAAAGATACCAGTTTTCAAGTACAAACTTCAAAACACAACAAAATGTATTTTCATTTACTTAGTATGTAGGAAAATCTTTAACTGCCTATTTGTCCTTAGGACACCATGCTCTGCTCGTACTATTACATTTCCATGTTTTATCAAACAGTTCACTTCAGAATGAACACATATACTAATTTATAAGTTGATGTGACCACAAACTACCCTAAACGAAACTTCAACTGACCTTAAATTAAAACCTTAACCTGATATGGGAAAGATGGACTAACAGAAAGACATAAGGTCCCTCTACTATTGCAGGCAGACTATTGAAACAGAGCAACCAGAGACTCTTATTATCCATGTATGACAAATGACACAGTCTCTCAATAACAAGGAGTAATAGGTCAACCAAGACAACCATATTTTGTTTATTAAGTAAGAAATACCTGTATGTCTGACAGGAGTCACCTGACCTTCACCTCATTTTCATGATTCAATTATCGTGTGCTTAGGTAAATTTCTCATCTTCATTTATTTTCTCTTCAAATATTCATGAACAAAACACATGGAGCTTAAATTTTCATTATAAAACTACTCATGACATACATGGGCAGACATAAGAACATGTACTGTGTATTCATTTATGTTCGTCGGTGGCAATTTTTCGTGAATTGAATAAAATTTTTATTTCCCTGGATACTTGATTTTGTGGTTTTGGTAAAGTTTGCTTACCAATCTATGAAAAATTTATCTCTTCGGCATAAAAATTTGTCTTAACCCATGAAATCCACCGAAATTGGTACGGAAGAATAATAATGAATCCACAGTACAAAAACGCCTCTAAGATAATGATAAACTTTTTATTAAAATGTAGCAAACATTGTTTTGACTTGTCAACTGTACCTAATTGAGAACCTTACTCAAGGACTTGTGTGAAGTGCTTCTATGACACGAGGTTTTTGTAACTTGATCGAGAGACATTTCCTATCAATTATACTATTGGACACTAGGTCTGTAGAACAGGAAGTTTTATTGTGATGTAATATCAAGTAACACAGAATTTTGTCATCGACGGTTCCGTAACTGCAGATGTAAGAAATTCCCACAGTAATTAGCAGGATGTACTTTTGCGAATGAAGAATATATACGTAGAAGATACAGCAGACCTTGAAACTTGTATTTGTATGTACTTTTGTCAAATCTGAAGTCAGTGGTCACCGCATTCTTTCTTAGTCCAACTGTCAGTAGTTATTAATTAAATTATCAATGCACATTGGCATAGAATACCAGTAATGTGTATTTTGCATGGTGTATTCACAAAAATTAAGCAAACATATGAAAATAAGGAGATTGTTGATTTTTGATAGTTTCTGTTCAATCTATTCCTAAGTTTTATATACTCAGGACCATTTAAACCTTTATATATTGATTACTGAATGTTGCCTGTATGTTACCTTCTACAAATTCTTTTGGTATACATGTGGTTGGGTTGCTGACTTATTATTGTATTCCCTTCATTTTCATTTATTTATATCAACAGTTATATATATATTTATTTTGATATATTGCAGCTTGCTGGACTTGTCCATTTAAGTTCTTGTTCTGTTAATGGGATGTGATTTCAGATTTAAAGAGTTACTCTTTCCTTGTACACCTATGTAACATTTTAGTATGTTGAGTTAATGTCAATGAGACAGCAACCCAACCACAAGAAAAACCTCAAAGCATCTAGGTCAACAAATATTGATTTGTGGTCTTACACACACAAAATACCAATACTAAAACACAGTCATTGTCAATGCGACAGCAACCCAAAGACAATAAATGGGGAATGTGTCCATGGGACACAGATGGTGCCCCCGCTTGCATATCATATAAAGTTAGAAAAGGACATAACTGAAGAACGATATAAGTGATGCTACCCAAATTTGTACTTGATCTGAGTGTTGTGGTAATAAGTATTGTGTATAAGTTTCATAACATTTGGTTAAGGCAACCTTAAGTTAAAGAACAGAAACCAAAAATTCAGCAATTTTTCCATTTGTAAAGGGGCATAACTCTAGAACAGTAAAAGTGACGCCACCAAAATTCTAACTGGATCTGTGTTTTGTGGTAATAAGCATTGTGTATAAGTTTCATAACATTTGGTTGAGACAAACTAAAGTTAGAGAACGGAAACGAAAATTTCAGCAATTTTTCCATTTGAAAAGGGGCATAACTCTAGAACGGTTAAAGTGAAGCCACCAAAATTCAAACTTGATCTGTGTTTTGTGGTAATAAGCATTGTGTATAAATTTCAGAGCATTTGGTTGAGGCAAACTAAAGTTAGAGTACGGAAACCAACTTTGGGACGTACAGACGGACAAGGGTAAAACTTAATGCCCCCACCGTGGCATAAAAAAAACTAAATGCATCTACATGTCAATATAGATTAATTTGTGGTCTTACACAACATACCAAACACTGTCAATCATGTGTGTGTAGAGTTTCTTGGGGGTATTGAGGGTATTGGTGGTGCAATATTACATAATGAGAAACTTCTTTTAGGTAGAGACACATTCATTAGCTTTTGACCTTCACAAATTTATCATGTCTGATGTCTTATGTTATGTGTTTGGATACATATTGCACAATGCACCAAAAACAATGAATGATATAAATCTGTCAATGAAGTAGTATATGGAA